TATGACAGATCCAAAGTGCGACCATTATCATAATCAACAATGTCGTGTATGATATATTTATCATTGAACATGATGGAGTAGTATTCATCAGGATTTTCCTCAGCATTGATCGTGATATGCTTACGCATGTTGTTCTTTTGACCGAATTTACCCCACAATGAATTGAGCATCAACTTAGCCACGAGATGTAATCCTTCATTGTAGACAATTTTGGCTGGATCAAGACGAATACCTTGCTTGCTTTCGTAGTCGTCAATATACTTTTTTCTGTCGTCATCATTTTTACACCATTTAGGGTACCCTGATGCTTCCTGCTTGATTTTGAGAAATGTGAAGATGTAATCTTTGAAAAGATCAGATCCCGTATTTTCGAAATGAAGAACCTCATAAACTTGAGAAATGACATAGCCCTTTGAAAGCACTAACTTCACTTCTGGAATGCACCAAGTCCCAACAAAAGCCCTCTGTTCAACAGAGTGGCGACAAACAGAGATACCTTTTTCAGCACAATTCTTACAAAGAACAAACATGGTCTTGTTGTTAATCTTATCAGGAAGTACAGGGTGATATAACCCACGAGGGGGTACTATTCGACACTTGATGAAACCATTGTAGTTCAGTTGGCCATCAAAGTTGTTAAGAATCCTTGTGGGGAACGAGTAGCATGGGTACTCTCCAAAAGCATTTACCCAAGGATACTGTGATGTAAAATCGCAGTATTTCACTCTTTCCTTCTCAGAACATTTGTAGTAAAGTTTGCTGGCATTTGTTCTACCACCAAAAAATGCATTACGAGGATCTAGAGGTCGGATATATTCAATGTCGAGGTCTTTACTCATAACATAATCACATATCTTCTTGTTTGAGTCATATTCACACTCTGAGATCGAGACATAATTGTAACCTAGAGCAATCAATTCTTCATGCTTATTATCGGTATATCATCTCAAAGACTTATAAGGGACACCATGATAATTAACGGCATCATCGTCTTTGCATTGTTTACACCCATGGAATTCACAACCATTAAATTCATACACAGTATTTGTCGAAGGAGAATAGCCATCGGCATAGAATTTTTTCCCATTTAATCGGTCAATCCATTTCTCTCCACCGCGTAGAACATGTCGCATATCCGGAACGCCATTATCACATAGATATTCGAGCCACTGGACAGCCTTGTCTGAATGACGCCGCATTCCTTCTTCATGATGTGTGGGTATGCTTTCTTCAGGCATGAACATATGCCTGTAAGTCCCCATACATGCCGATGCTATGGTTTTATAAGCCCAAGGATCAATTTCACCATCGGTTGCTACAAGGAATTGCTCTCGGAACAATTTCACGGCCGCTGCTAGAATATCGACATCATTCTTGCAGTATTCAACAAGTTCCTTAGTGTAATCAAAAACATACCTACCCTTCATGCATTCGCGTAGGGTTTTCTTGTACCAGCGTCGTGCATCAGCGCGTTTATCATAGGGCATACTGTCGAATCAAAAATCATCCAAAGATGGTAAAACGCCTTTATAATCATTTGAACATTTGAACCAATGTGGAAAGTAACCCTTACGAACATGTTCCTCTAATCCAAACATGGAAGGCAACTTTGACAGTCCCATAGGCAAAAACGACATGCTATCAATGAACCGGATGTTGAACTTGGGCAGCACCATTGAAATGATCTTCAACCCATTTGAGATATACTTAGGCTTAACACCGTTGTCATTGAACTTTTTGAAGAGAAAGTGGAAATCGTAACCCTGACCATTGTGAGCAATGAATGTTGTATTAGGGTTCTTGAAGATGAATTGATAAAAAGCATCAAATTCAAAGAAGGAGTGATGCTCATGACATTGGCACACAGATTGGCATAGACCGGTACAAACTACCTTGCAATCCGTAAACTTTACACAATGTTCACCATCATGTAGAAACTCTGATTCAAAATCAAATGCTATGATCTTGCTAATGTGCTTTCTGGGTTTCTTTTTCTGTATGAAGCATCGATGGTCAGGAGTGACGTAAGCCTTGCAAGGATGGCAGAGATAGTGGTTGCAATCGTGTAACTCAGCACAATTACCGTCATAATAAGCACGCTCAAATACACGCCTGCAGCCACCTTCCTTGTTACATTTCCATATTTTATCGCATTTTTTCTCCTTGTGATAATCATCACAATCTCCTGAAAAGTGACCTAAGTTACAACTTAAACACAACACTAGATCATCAGGAGATCCTTGTTTACATGTGACCCGACCACAAAGGTTGCATCCTCGTTTCTTATCACATTTATGATTGGTATGCTTGTGTCCTTTCATGCATTGGAAACAAAAATACGATGCACAGTAAAAGGCGTTAATCTTGGTTATGCAATCGAAATGATCCCCTTTACGTAGGATAGTAGCAGGTTTCTCATCGTATTGCTCGTTGTTAACACCTTTGACCATAAGAGGCTTACCACCGTTCTCTAGATCAACAATAACGATGTTCCTTTTGAGGAATGAAACCAACTTTGGAAAGTCGCCGTAAGACATCTTCTGACCAACAGGTAACCCGCATCCTTCATAATAGTTAGTAACAATTTTGTCCAGTGGCTTTCTTTGTTTCATGATGTACGCATATTCATTTGTTGAGTGATCCATCGCATGGAATGCTACGGATAAGGCAACTGCTCTCATACCACAATTGTTACCATTGTTTTTCACAACAATGACACAACTTTTTGACTGTGCTGATAGATGGTCATGATAGTTTTTGAAGGCGCCGCCCTTTACCGAAACTAAACGATGCACCTCGATAGTCATGCTTTCATCGATTGATGCTATTTCAGCCGATTGCATTCTCGCAGTAATTTCATCTATCACATCAGAAGCAATCAGATCACTAACTGATACAACTTTTGATGACCAAAATCCATTGTGTAGACTTTGATGTTGAAACCCTATTTGCACTTTGTCACCGCATTCAAGGCCTACAAGTGATTCCTTGATGACATCATTGAAAAATGAAACAATATCATCATGAGTAGCGAAGGTGTACTTTGGATTGAACCGATAAAGTTCCTTTGTATAACCGATACCTTTGATTTTGATCTCTTTGACAGATATTAAAGGTGAGAATGATTCTTGACGCTTTCGAAGATTATACTTACGTTTAGCCCTAGTGGCAGCAGCCTTCTTAGCGGCTTCCTTTCGCTTTTTAATAGCAGCCTGAGCCCTCTCTTGAATTTCTCTCATCTCGCGCTCTTCCGCTTCTTTATTAAGCCTTCTCGTCACTCTGGCCTTTTCAGCAATAGCCTGCTTTTGAGCCTCAGTGCGTCTCGCAGCAGCAATTCTTTTTTCTCGCTCAGATTGTAGGAATCTTGGTACTCGATGTATTTGAAGGTTCTCTAGTGCTTCTCGTCGTTTCTTAGTCCAGTTCTTACGTGAGAAGTTTCCAGAGACGATCTTCCGCATCATCTTCTCGAAAGGCTTCGAGTCTTCTTTTACGTTTCTGTTTGCGATTGGGTCAAAAATCAAAGGCATAGTAAATAGAAATATATAGTGTTAAAAAATAAATATTTTCAAAGCTTTAAACGTATTTGTTCTTCGAATGATGCCGGGCGCAGAGCGGCCAATCCCGGCAGGGATGTTCATGCAAAGTGAGCAACTTTTACTGGATCATCAGGAATAGCCACTTTTCGATTTATTTTAAAGTATCTCATCTTAGGAGGAGGTGGTGGTGGTTTTCGTATACATGGTAACTTTTCTATAGCATACATCTTTGAAATAGGCGATTCTGCTAACCCATGTATTATATTATGAATGTATGAGCGCGAGACACCTAACCTGTTAGCAATCTCTATGGCTGCCCGATAGTCATTTACAAATGTTCTAGAACCATCTTCTTCGATCTTGTATACCCTGTAGCGATCCTTCGTGTTTATCGATCCTGATTTGCATCCCATGTTAAAATATATTGTGTATACAAAATATTATTTCTCTTTGTTTAAACGTGTGTGTTTATTAGCAAATGTTGTACAAAAGCTCTATAACAACGCCCCTACATGACGCTAAACAAAGGGATATCTATGTACATTGTGCTATGAAACACCTTTACAGACTGTTTTTGTCGTTTTGTATTTTTTTTTTTCTGGTTTTGTTGTTTTGTAATTTTTTTTTGTTGATTTCATGGATTTTTTAGCATGTGTCAACGGTAATTGAAGAGAATCAAGCAGCGGCACTACTGCTTCCTACATCTGGAGGATTGATAACATCAGCATGGACAATGTCCTGATCGCTCACTTTAGCCTTGACGCTCTTTCTGTGCTTAGGAGTGCTAGCTGCTATGAGTGCGTTAATCTGCATCTGTTGCTGCTCGATACGCTCCATGAGCATTTGCTCTAAATTAGCAGATTCCCCATCACGCTCAGGGCTTGACCGCTCGACACGTCTACGTTTACCCTTTTTGTGGTTGTAATCGCTGTCATCGGCATCATCGGAATCGTCGTCAGAACCAGAACTCAAGGTTTCACCATCAGACTCGAAATCTTTGAACTTTCTCTTTAACTTGAGAGATGAAGATTTCCATTTATCCTCTTCTCGCTCCTTCCGCTCTAGGAGTCGTCCCAGATGACCTTGAAGTGATTCTAGCAACTCCTTGTCTTCCTTATATATCTTCTGATTATCAGCCATATTTTCTAATAAACACTCACTTTGCTCGAAGGTGAGATCCTCTAGACCCATCTTGAGAGCACGACGCACTATGGGATGTAGCAAGCCTCCTACAAAGTGCGTCACTTGCCCCCATTGACTCTTTGCAATGGACATGTTTCAAATTCGGTTAGGTGTTTCAGAAAATGTAGCTATGTTTCAGATTCGGTTAGATGTTTCAGAATTATGGCGCGTGTTTCAGAACACGTATCTGATGTTTCAGATTCGGTTAAATGTTTCGAATCATACCTGATGTTTCAAACCCGTACTCATGCTAATGGGAGAAAAGATACACCGAGTGCCTTTTTATGCCACCGGCTTGTACTCAGGGATGCCCTTCCGTTCAATGGAAAGAATCTTGGCATCCCTGCAGGGATGCGCCGGCATAGTCTTGGCATTTCTTGGCGCCATTTTTTAAACATAAACAACACGCCTCACGACTCTTCCAGAACCGTAGCGTCACTTACGTGTTGCTGCGGCTTTTCTAGCAGCGATGATGCGCCTGTTTCTTGCACGAGCAGCCGCTCTAAGTCCTTTATTCGGCATGGCCGATACGTTGATGAGTTTTCTATGGGATTTCTTAGCCATAATGTGATTCAATATTAGGGTGTCCTATACATATGTGAAGAATATAATTGTTCGCATTACTAAGCCGGAACCAATCTAATACCATCTTTGTTGATGCTCATCACATGATCAGTAGTCCAAAATACATGAAATGTCTTGTCCTTGAATGTAGGAATGCCGGCGAAATCGGCTGTTTCCGGAGGATTTGGATATTGAGAGACATTGATTAGAATGCGCCCATCGGCTAGAGTCTGAAGACCACCACCAATCATGTCGGGGGTTTGCTTGAAATTCTGCCTCCACGACCAATGTTTTATCTTTTTTCCTCCTAGATCCCATCCTTCCAAATCAGACATAGTGGGCGCAAACTTGACATCGTTAAAGTCCTTGTTCCTTTGTGAAAGAGCATACATCTCTGGGTCTATAGTAGAGACAACTCCTGTTTTCTCAGAGCCATGTGCAATAGCCTTCCCTTGTGGGAACCGTTCCATTCCTACTTGGATAGAAATGGTTCTAATACCTGCATCGTCCGAATAATTCAATTTGTCTACATCAGTCCTTAAATTGTCAGTTGTCACCAACATCAATGACGAAACAGAGGACTGTTCACCTGTTACAAGCGAGAGTTGTTGTACTCGACTATCTTGTCCTGCAAACTCTTGACTCCACACTATTTGCATGGGGATAGTCAGGGGTGTAGGATCCTCAGCCTGCATCAAAGCAAGCACTTTATCATAGTATTCCTTGACCAGTTCAGCAAACTGACAAATCAGTTCATTTTGTTCAATCCTGAAATATTTGATTATTCCGGATGTGGGAAAAATTTTCGTGAGTTCAGTCTCAGCAGTCATTTCAAGGGTTACTCCTCCTTTTACAAGACATAGAGGAAAAGCCACTTCATTTTGAAAGAATGACAGCGATGAGCCGGTGACAGTGTAAGCCCTGTTTGTAGCAACCACTGCTGAACGGTCATTATCCTCACTCGAATAATACTTGCATTGGCCAAGATGTTGTTTGGTTTCCCACGATGTTAGAGCGTTTTCATGCACCGTAAAAAGGTTGTAGTCATTGAGATCTTCAATGATCCTTCCATTGATCAGAATAGATTGCCGTTTCCATACAGCATCTGTTCCTGATTGACATAGCCTGTGGGTTGCAGTGGCAGAAACAACTTCTTTGTAATCATCATCAAGCCCTACTAGTCTATATTTGTGCAATGTTTCATTAACGAGCCAGAAACGCTTGTCATCTGCTATTTTAAAAACTAGTTTCCTGCCTGCTCGACAGTCCCCACTTCCGTTTGTTGGCTCGAAGCGAACCTGACTAGATGGCTGGAAGTTTAGAATGACTCCGTTTTTTGTGGATCGTTTATAAGTAAATGCCGATGGGACACGTCTGACCTCTGTTACTTCAATATCGGATGACATGGTTTACTTTACACATCTAGAAAAAAAAAACGTCATTTTTTAAGCAAAAGTGACATCAAAAATTGTGCCTTTCGGAAAGGAGTTTGCTGTCCTAAATAGCCTGAACTCAGTCGGTGTAGCTTAACAAGTTACAATGGTTGTCAAAGCGAGGGGGTCAAAGGGGGACAGCCTGTCCCCCTACGAAAAACCAACTCTAAAAGGTCATTTCGAACTTTGTAGATTTATGTGCACAAAATGAAATGGTTTCTTTGTATTAACCATAACGAACTTTTCAAATACATCTTCAGGTAAAGCGAGAGATAAGCCTGCTTCGACCATTTTCTTAAGTTCGCTTTTCAAAGGTCTAAAAATGATCCAGTTTGTTGCATTGCTACGTACAGCGGGACTATTGTGATAAAAATATTGACTCGACAGGATGCAAGTGATACCGGCATGCCTTCCACGTGTTGCCAACTCATCGAGTGACTTCTTATGTCCCTTTTGCATGTTGTAGTCATCTATGATTAGAAGCAGGTCTCGTTTTCTTCCACTTCGAACAAATTCATAAAGTTGCTCTTCGTGTATAAAATTGAGTATTTCATTGGAAATCTTGTCAAATATATGAACCTTTTTGCTCGTTCTTAAGGGGTTCCAATTGGTGTCATGCGGATTTGGTGTGAATATTATGATATTCGAATACTGCTTCTTCAAGAACAATTTGCATATCACAGCAATGTTTAGCGTTTTACCGCTAAATCGAGCACCATTGTATATGATAAAACCATACTTTCTAGGAAGCCGTGGATCTGTATTATCCTTTATGCGTCCAGAGACTTGACTAGGTAAAGGGGCAATTGTGATTGGCTTCATTGCACTTGTTTTTATTTGCTCTCTGTATCTATAATACATTAGAAGAAATGAAAAAGTTGATTCTCGATAGCAACAGGGCGACGAACGGAAACAAGAATGAACCTAAATGGACTCTAGCCGAACCCATCACATGTGATAAAATTTGATACAATTCGATCATTTTGCCCCTTTCGTGGGACATAGTAAATGACAAGAACAATATTGTCTCCTTTTATGATGCTGGGATGGGTAATGCTGCAAAGACTTTTGCTATTCCTCCTGGGACATATAGCCCTGATGATTTGGTCGATGCACTGACTGCTGGATTTAACTCGACTGGGACGCAAGCATACACCGTAGAATACAATCATATAAACAATCAAATCACAGTGACCGCGGGTACAACACCATTCAAAGTTCTCTACCCTCAAACCACAGCAAGCAAACTGCTCGGATTAGTTCAGACGCAGCAATCTGACCCTGGGAGATCAATAACTTTTGCGAATCCAATCGATTTGACAGGTGTTAAGATGGTGCTCGTCTCATCATCAAACTTACGTTCTAATGATGTTGTAGTTGCTGGAGCCGATGATCTGAATATTCTAGCATCGATTCCAATAAGCCAGGAAATAGACACCGTGCTGTGTGCGCAGAATTATTTCGATACCGACTTCATTGACACGGAGTCAGGCCTTGTTAGTACCATCGACATCCGTTTGCTTGATGCTGAAACGCTATTGCCGATTGATTTACAGGGCAAAGGGTTCACTTTGGTTCTTGATTGTCATTCCTCCGGCTTTGCAGATGATTAATTTTTTTTCATTTGGAACATGTAAAAGATGTTGCGTCAAAAATTCGCAAACTTTCTCTCAAGTGCAAAGAACTTTGGTCTTCGAGCATTGAACAGTTACAGCAAAGTAAACAATGGAATTCGACAATTTGTAAACCATGCTGGCCAAGCCAGAGATATTTATGGAAAGGTTCATCAATCTCTAGTCCATGACGAATCTGTACCCATCAAAGTAAGAGAGACAATTTCACGAGGATGAGGTTATATCAATGATCTCCATAAAGGTCTAGGGCGATCCTATGAGATCCAACAGAATTTTGATTCAGCGCTAAGGAAATTGCTTCCTGTCGAATTAGCGGGGTATTAATGCTACTTTTAGCGTCAAATGATTTCATTCAAGTCATCAATGTAAAGAGGATTTTCAGGAATAATAACATACTCGTTCCAGTTAATACCACTCACATCAGCGTCTGGAATGATGGTTTCCTTACTGTATATATTCATCATGCCTGAGCCCGGCATTGGCACTCCGAGTTCATTCGCAGAGTGAATGAACGAGTCAGAATCGTCTTTGACGGTTCCTCCGCGCCCAGCATGCCTTTCAGCCAACTTCCTCCTCAAACGCTCTTGTATCCGTTCCTTCCTTTGTTGAGACAACATGCTTCTTTTTTTTAATAATACTAATATAGTAAAATACAGAATAGAACGATATGTATGTTGCCGAATTGGTAAAACTATTACAGAAGGGCAACACTGATGTAACTGATTACAACTCTGAGCAGGTCGAACATGATGTGTTTTGGAGAGAGAAGAGAAAATGGGTTGATTCAAAGTTACCTACAGGCTATTTCAAGCACCCGCTGTTAAACAAGTATCGTTCATTTGGTAAGGTTGATACACAATTCGTCAGTGACCCATACTATATTGAAATTGATAATAGACGCTTCGGTGAACTAAGGGATGCTAACGGCCGGTCTTTGGATCCTGATACCTTTCAGCCAGTTGTTTCAGATGCAGAACTCAAACGGATGGCTTCCAGGCATTCAGTTGATTACCGTCCCAAATCTAATCAAGAGACTCGGTATCCGATAATCCATGGTCGCGATGGATACAAAAATGACATAGATTTGAATGCACGCATCAGACAAATGCGCGAAGGTTATGAGAATTTTATACAAAAGGAGAGGGCTATAGAAAGAGAAAGACGTGAGAACATTGCTAACATACAGCGTTTCCGCTCTTCACATGGTATTCACAATCCTGGGGAGAGTTTGCTAGAAACAACTGGCTTAGGAACGCGGGGCACAGACATTTCTGCCTCAAGAGACTCATTCAATGTACAACGTGGACGACCTACTCCTGCGTTGTCTGAGAACATCTTTTATGAGGAAGGAGGCACGCCACCTACACAATGGGTTCTACATAGGCGATCTGATTCAGATCTTGAAAGGGGTATAATGACACCATTACCTTTATCACCAACCTCAGGCTTACCATCACTAGCGCCGATGGATGACTCACCATCTCCGTCTCCATCTAGAACAAGGCAGCCCACGCCTAAACAACTATTCAAAAGTATTCTAAAGAGGAACCCTCGAGGCGGTTTCATGCATCCTGTTATACCGGGCAAAAATATGCCCGAGAGATTGCCTGAATTTAGACAAATGGTCAAAGCATTTAAAGACAATAATAATCGACCATTGTCAACTTGGACGAATATCAAACTATAGCGCTGAAGTATGTTTTTTTATTTTCTATTTACAAAGCTAAAATGCCTAAAAAAAAGGAATCTATACCGGCGCAGAGCCAAATGCCGGCAGGCATACCTGACCAGGACATTACAGATGAAGAACAAAGTTTGAATGATGATGATGAAACTAATGACGATGATCATCAAGACTATGTTCAAGAACTTGTAAACAAATATGCCGGCGCAGAGCCAAATGCCGGCAGGCATGCCGGGCGCGGAGTGGCCAATCCCGGCAGGGATGCCGATCCAGGCAGGGATACCGGAGAGGTCAATACCAGCGCTCCCAAAAAACGTACTGCATCAGAGAAGCAGCGAGCACATTTAGAAAAAAGCCGAGAAAAGGCTCTTCAGGTTAGACGAGAACTTGCCGCCAAGAGAAAAGAAGAGAGAGAACTAGAAAAGAAGAGAAAAGAGGATGAACGGATTCTTGCTAAGGCCGAAGCCCTTAGAGTGGAACAGGAAAAATGTGTCGAGGCTAGGCTCCGCAACTATATGAAGGACTTACAAAGTCACAAGACTAAAGCGAAGCGAATTAAAACGCCAATACCGAAAAAAAGACGGCAGATTGTAGTTGAGGAATCATCAGATGATTCTTCAGATGATGATGATTATCAGGTTGTTAAAGTCATCAAGAGAAAGAGAACTCGCCCTGTTCATCCCACTCGCGCAGATGTAGTCCGTTTTAAAAATGGACATGAGTATGTCGGGCACGCAGAACCATATCCCAGTGCAGAGCCATATGCCGGCAGGCATGCCGGGCACGGAGTGGCCAATCCCGGCAGGGATATCATGCGTACCAAACCACCATCGATCTTTGATGACATTGTATAGACCAAATGTCGGCATGCAATTCATTTTCTAAGCTATGATGATATAAAGGAATAAGAAGATGCCTTTGCCTAATAGCATTCAAGGCACATATACGGTTCGAAGAAATTTAGAAGTCCTAGATAATTTCAAGTCCGGAAAAGTTAAAGCCAATTCTATCTATGGAGAGAGCCTACGGAATAAAGATGGTATAGTCACTATACTCGATTTGGATAGTCAAATGCCTAGTCTCTCCATTCAGAAAAATAAAGGTAAATATACCATCTCTCTTGCCGAGACAACTTATGTTTTTCCATTAATTGATGATGAACATGATGTCAGGCTTGTAACAGACGATACTCTGCTTATAACAGAAGACGGCTTATCTGTTAAACCAGAGACACTCCTGCAACCTCTCTATAGGGCTCCCGACTCACGAACAGTAAGCCTAAACATTGATGATGATGAACTAAAAGTTGAGGATGGAAAATTAACAGTCATACCTTATAACTATGATTTCCCACTCTACAGGGAGGCCGAATCACATACGGTTGGTTTACAAGCAGATGATAGTTTGCTTATAACTGAAAACGGTCTATCGGTTAATTTTCCTGATCCTGAGACGCTGAAAAAGCCGTTGTATCGTGACCAGAGCGGCCTTGGAATCAAACTTCATAAAAGTCTAAAGGTGAACAATAATGACGAATTGGAAACTAACATTCAGTCGGTACTAAAAGCATTTGGCGCTCTGAAATCGAGTTCAGGTGCTGATACGCTGTTAGACATCGGGTCTTCATGGCTCGACTTTGGATTCGATAGTTTGACCGAAATGACTGATGTGTTAGGAGAAGTAGACACCACAGCCATTCGCCTAATGGTAGATAGTACCTCATTCAGCCAAGCGGGTTCGAGATTGTCCCTGAAATCACCCGGATATGAACAAATCATGTATGGTAACCTTACTTATGGCTACTCGGGAAGTTCTTCATTCACCTATTCGTCCACGCTTCAGGAGTTGCGTGTACCCAATGTAAAGTTAAGCGGAACATTGCCTGCGATTGGAGGTGGCTCGTATGCTGTAAGTAAAGACTATCTTTCGCAATTTTATCAAGGCTCTCAAACTGGAGCGATCGCCGTGAGTCCGGAGGCTGCTGGACGTCGAGAGATAGGCTGTTTGGTCGATAATCAGACCATCAGAATTGTTGGAAATGCACTCACAGGTGGTACATTTTTCAGGACTTTAATGGCGTATCTATTCGACCTGGAACGACCAATGATGTGGTATTATCTCTTAAATGTGAGGCTGGCAGTTGTCTCCAAATGGTCAAAGCAGATACCATTAAAGACGTACTGACTTGCAGCAATGGTATCGAGAGAGTACAGAATGACCTTCAACTCGATCTAAAAGTTGATGCTAACAGCGGTTTGGCTATGGTCAACAGGGGTACCATACGGGATATCTTTACAGCCTCCCAAGGGGTAAGCAGGGTGGGCAACGAGTTCAGGTTATCTCTTACTGCACAGTCACCCGATCTGACTCTAAACAATGGTGTTCTGAGTTCAAACATCGCTGCGGGAATTGGACTGCAAAAAAATGGTGCGATTTTGTCAACGAACCTAAGAGGTATCAATGGAGTGCAAGTTAGCGGCAATTTGATTTCATGTTCACTTACAGGAAGTGATACCGTCCTTCGAGTAGGGGATACTCTGAAAGGTAATTATGTGGGCAGTACCAACTCATATGGAAGTGTGGTCGTTGTTGGTAATACCATTCAGTACAACATGATTCCTCCACAATTTGTGTCTAATTCACCAAATCTCATCATTACAGGTTCGTACCCACTCTACAACTTTACACTCATTGACCCTATGCCATTATCGAAACAAAGGGATACCGATAATACTGAACAGAGTGATACCGCAGAAGTGTTGAAAACTGATGTTCCTGGTGGGAATGTGGTCGTATTGTCCGGGGCTACACCACTGACTACCATTCCATTTCCTGTGATGGTATCTCCACCACTGACAATTCCGATGGCTGTCAATAGTATTCTGCCCATCGTCTCAACCTTTCCTTGGGGGATGATTTTCGGAGGGTCACGCAAACGTAAGGTTCAACGAGATGCGGAAGGCCAACCTATACTCGATGGAGATGGAAACCCTGTTTACAAACCAATCGACCCTGTTACATTCATGCCTCCATTGGAGCCAGGAAGCAATGTAGCAATTGCAAGTGACCCTGTAGGTGGCTGCACTCGTCTCTTGTTTGATACGCCTTCATGCTATCGCACCATCAAATACGAATACCCGCAGCAAGCAATCAATCTCTCAATGTTAAGAGATTATGATACCAAGTTGATCAAGCCTTGGGTGACAAGCCTGATAATGGCATTACCCGCAGCAAGCAATCAATCTCTCAATGTTAAGAGATTATGACACCGAAGTTATCAAACCTTGGGTGACAACAGGATTAGCATCGAAGCAAAACTTATCTCCTTTGCTTGACAATATCAGTAGTCTGACCCCAGCCGATGGCACTTTTTTGATGGGTGGAAATGGTGGTTTTTTCCAGATTGTACCTAAAGATGAAATCCTCAGCGCATATCAGCCGTTGATTACACCAGCGAGTGTCCTTAACCTTAGCGGTTTAACGGTACAGAATTCAAATACCAATGCTATGGCAATCACACTAGGAAACACTAGCGCTGCACAGACATGGAATATCCATGTGGCTGGTTCATCGAATGGAAACCTAATTTCTGGAGCATTAGGCTTTTACTCGTCATACCAAGATAAAGGATACGTATTCCGAATTGACCCATCAGGTAATACGGTCGTGAGTGGAGGCCTTGGAGTTTCGACCGATGCCTACGTTGGCGGAATGCTCTATATTGCTGGCATTGAAGCCGCAACTCAGAAATTCGTAATTGACAATATTGCACCGATTACTCAGTCATTATCTTCATTGACAACGACAGTTACTAACAACAATAATGCCGTTACTACTGCACTCGCATCGAAGCAGCCTATGAACGCTACAACTAATAGCCTGTACACGATGACGGTGCAGCCTGACTCTTGGTTGTATTCTTCTGCTGGGACTACGATCGAAAATGTGACTTCCAATCAAGTTAAAGGTATCCTCGATATTGCAACAAATGCTGGTGTGAACACACTGCTTTCTGGGAAACAGAACAACATCACTACATCAACTAATCTGAGTCTTGCTTCTGTTACTGCAAATGGTTATTTGAGTGTTCAAAATGCTGCCAATCCCACCTTTATGTCACTGGTAAATACAGCATCAAATGTGACATGGGGACTTCGAGTCGCTGGTTCTTCAGCCGATGGCTCTAACCCAGCAGGTGGGTTTGGAATCAACTGTTCATATAACAACGTAGGCTATGTGTTCAAGATTTCTAATACAGGTATTACACAGATAACAAATACCTCACAGTCAACCAGTTCGACTACAGGAGCACTTCTAGTAAGTGGTGGTTTAGGTGTTGCAAAGGACGTATATGCAGGAGGAAATGTAATTAGTAGCACCTCTGTGGATGCTCCAAACTGGGTGCAATCTAGAAACATTTCGTCTGGCACTAATGCCTACGCGGCCATTGGTTGTGCCAATGATAGCGGCAATGGTGCGTTACTTTTCCTCAACTCTTCTACAAGGACTGCTGATGGCTCGTCGAATAACGCTACTCTCCGCAACGACTGCGGGGACATGAACATCCAAGGAAAATCAGGTCTCGGATTGGGTCTACGGATTGTATCCATTTCAAATGAAGTGAAAGTCTTGACCACTACAGACTCCTCATCTGCAACAACAGGGGCTTTACAGGTATCTGGGGGTGTTGGAATTGCTAAAAAACTTTGGGTAGGGACAGGATTATATTGCAACAGTCTATATTTGCCGGTGTAACGGATTTTTTGTTGGTAGACTACAGTAAAGACAACTTGGGTCTCCTAGCAGGTTGTGTGGGTGTCCGTACTAGGAATCGTAGTCTCCAAATCCTTTCTTTGGGCGTCGGTAGCGACTTGAGGGCGAGAGGCAAGGAGAGTCGGTTAGTTGTGAACCGAGCAGGATTTAGAGGCTTCGGTACGGGTGATCAGGCCGTTGAAGCGCTCTGTTAGGTTCCTGTTAACCTAAGATTGGAGTTGAGAAGCGAGTTATGGGGATTTTTTGTCGCTACGGCTTCTGCCCCCGACTTATTTTATTGAATACATCCTTTTTATACAAGATTCTTGGATAAACTGTTAAACTAAACTAAACTAATGGGTGTCGCTGCACCGCAACTGATTTATTGGTGGCGGTACCGATCTCTTCCTTTTCCGCACTGGCTCGGGCCTCCACAGGTTGTACGAGGCACGCTGAAATCTAATGCGCCAATTGCCATTCTCCGAACCGGTTTTTTCGGTCGCGGTAACCCAATCGGTGGAGTTGGTCACGCGATTCGTGCTTCCCGCGTCCGATTTGGGCTTACTCGCGATCTCTCGAAGACGTCCTCGTCGTTACACCGGCGACGTCAAACGGCTTCTTTCTACAGTCCAATACCAGCGGTAACGGACAGATATTTCAACTCACAGCCAATAATGTACGGACTCAGTTAACCTTGAGCAACATGGTGTATGACGGATATTGTGATGCATGGTTTACTGGGTCTATAAAAGCACACAATCCTACACTGGGCACTGGATTAATAATTAGTTCAAATGGCAACATCATAACCTCGGTTAATACAAACGGAAATGTGAACATTACACCGAATGGTACGGGGATAGTATTTATAGGCGCTACCACGGATTCATCTTCTTATTCTACAGGTGCATTACAAGTTGCAGGAGGTGTTGGAATATCGAAGAATCTCTACTGTGGAGGGAGTCTGTACTCCAATAATTTGAAAGTTGCAACTGAAAGTTATGTAGGGTCAGCCATTGCAAATAAACAGACATCGAGTCCGCTCCTAGATTCTATCAGTGGACTCGCAATATCAGCGAATTCATTTATTGTTGGAAGTTCTGCTACATCATTCTCCACGAAAACCATTGAAGAAGTAAAGTCAATTCTAGGCATTACAAATGTCGACCTCTCAGGGAAGCAAAATGCCTCTCCTTTACTCTCTACTCTCGCTGCGATGTCACCAATGAGCAATATGTTTCTCATGGGAGATGATGTCCAAGGATTCACTCTCACAAATGACATCAAAGTACGAAGCATTTTAAACATTGTTGATTATTCCTCAGACATAACTTCATTGCAAGGAAGCATTGCAACCCTACAAACATCATTATCATCAAAGCAGGACACCATATCCAGTAGTACCGCATTATCAACAGGAACACTTGTTGTAAATGACATAACCGATTCCACATCAGCCATCACTGGAGCACTTCAAGTGAAGGGTGGAGCAGGAATCGCTAAGAAACTATGGGTTTCTGGTGCACAAATGACCGTCCAAAATACTAACTATAGTGTTGGCCAAACCAATACCCTCATGTTTTCACACGCAATGCAAAATATATGTTCTATACAATCCTATTTGCCTGGTAGTAACAATGTAGACCTGAATTTCTATGTCGGACAAAACAACGCATCTATTCAAAGTATGTCGCTTAATGGAGCAACCGGAAATGCTTATTTTGATAGAGATGTCATCATCGGAAACACCAGTGTAAATGCTTTAAGAAGCATTCAGGTCAAGAATGTAGACACAGGAACAAATGCTTGTTCGATTTTGTATCTAACTGCATCCGGTGGTTCGTCTGTTCTTTTTATGAATGGAAGTAATCGTTCAGTTGACGGAGCGCAGAATTGTTTGACTCTTCGTAATGATGTGGGTGCCTTGCGCCTTCAATCTCAGGGAGCAAAAGGTATTTACGTTTATCCTAACACAGGTAATGTCGTTGTTGAAAGCACCACTCCAGCGTTATCGAGTACAACTGGTGCTTTGGTTGTCGCAGGTGGACTTGCGGTCGGTGCCCATGTCATATCAGGTGGAAACCTTTATGCAAATACAGCGGTCTACGCTAATGGACAAAAATGTGCGACTGAACAATGGGTCTCTACACAAGTACAAGCCTTCCCTAAGATTCAGGTGTTCAAGATGCTAACTAAAGATGTAATCACAACTGGTAGCGGAACAAAGACGTTCTATGTTTCTACAGCCGGCCGGGCATTGATACGCTATACCATCAACTTGCATGGCACCAATAATGCAGGAGGAATGCTCAATGTGTATCTAGGAACTAATGCCGGTTCGATGCCGTCAGTCTTTTCCAGTGATTTTAACTATAATGCTGGAGTGAACAGAACAGTTTATGCCTCATTCATCGTGTCGGGTTTAGTTCCTGATGTAGCATATTTTACCAATTTTTCAGCAGTAAATGCAGCACCGGATACAAGTGCAGACGTAACAATTATAGAGATTACGGAACTTGGTGCTTAGAACTCGAACGAGCGCCATTATTAAGAAAAAAATGAAGCTATGAAGACATAAAAATGCAGCGCGCGGACATTGATGGTCATTCAGTTTTCAATATTAAAGACGACGTGAAGGGCGACATGGATAAATTTTGGAAATTTTGTGAAAGTATGTTAAGAGGGGACAAGAGCAGGGTAATTCTCTATTTACCCCAAACACCTGAAAATGAACATATCTTTCAAGAGATTCTCCCCATCGTCCACTTGAAGAAACTCGACCAATTATGCTTCAAGCATAGTGGTTATCTCGCTATTCTCAACAATTTTGTATTGTTGGGTCATTCGAGAAACGAACGGCTGTTTTTTTTAGAGATGAGAGTCAAATAGAATGCATTTCATATCCGTACGGTCTACCAAAGACGACTTTATAACCATGTTTGATGACCTACATCAAGGATCATTCAAAAACATGATCAAAGACTTCTCTGATATTCTACAAACGAAGCAATTCTCACTGTCATTTCAAGACCCTACATTATCTGATACAAACCATAATGGCTTCATAAATTATTCGTCTATAGCATTTTTCAGAAATCGAAAGCATCTTATCACCATAAACCTGAAAACCCTAATGCCTGTCATCAAGGATCCTACGCTAGATAAAAGGGCGATCTGCAAATGCATATTGCAGCATCAGGAAACTCTATTGGATATGGATGACC